GATGGTTATAATGACTATAACTCTGTAAATACATACTCGTTATGGTCGTGAATCATATTTTGTTAAACATACAACCTGACCCTGACCTGCAAACTCCAAAAAACGCAAGAAAATTTGAATTTCGCGGGCCACCCTGGAGCTTCCACCTTAATAATTAATTTTATTTATGTAGTTGATGAGGTTTACTTCCGGTTAGTGACGCAACTGTTCGTCACTAGTTGGAGAGGGGGAAAAGTGGAACTGCAGGGAGTTATATTGGGAGCTTTAGAGTCGAATGGACTACTTAATCAATCTATACTCAAATTTATGTTATTATATTTCTATATTACTTTTAAGTCGTCGAATATAAAATAAAGATCTTAAAAATATGAAGTCGTAAAAGTAGTGTCGGAGATAGAGCGTAGGAAATAAAAAGAATTGAGGGTAGAATGCGAAACTACCCATCTCCATTTGTATAGTTCGACGCAGGTGAATTACTAGGCGATTCGATTATACTTCATTCTTTCGATTCCATCAAAGTTGAAAGACCTTTATGAGATTCGTTATCTTGTGTGTCGTGATTCTATCCTTTGTAGTCATTCCACTTGAACAATCTAAGAATATGCTCTGCGGTGAAGGAATAATTCTGTTTGCGCACCTAATCTATTTTTAGCTATCTCAATTATCCAATTCAAATGTTTTTTTGGACTTAAATTATAATAATCTACTGGAAATGTAAGTATCTTTAGTAATTACTAATTTCTGTGCCACGCGTTTGATAAAAAACCGGCGACCACGCCCTTTCACTAAGTAACCTTCACGATGTTTTTGTTATTTTCTAATAGAAAATAGCAATAAAAGTAGGTAACTAGTCAAGTTATGCACGGGCCGGAGGACGTTTTAAAAATACTAATTTTATTAATTAAAGGATGTTTAATCGCTACAAGAACTCACTTAAGACTAGCTTAATATTCTATGCTAAAACTAATGCATGAGAGCCCACACAGGAGCTCGGCAGTTCCCGTTTGTCCACTCAGCACACGCCTGTGGTCTACAATCAGAATATTCTGCTGATGCGGACATCTTGGTGGGTCTCGCCACCCGTAACTCCTTCCTCCTCAAGTTCGAAGTTCTCGTTTACAGGAGAACTTCGGATACAAAAATTAAACAAGTTTAAATGGTACTTATGAACTAACACACAGGTTACAATAATGAATAACAGTCCATACAATAAAATGGTCCATAGGCTAACACTTTTAATCACCACAATTGCTTTTTAACTTTCACTGTTTTTAATTTCACTTTTTCATAATGCAACTGACAGAACTTTGAGGTCCGTAAGATCTATACCTTCTAGGTTCAGCTGCACCGGGGATGACATGTCGAGGGATTAGTTTATTGCAGGTAGGTTAATCATAGGTAATATAGAGGATGAACTGCTTTTAGTTTCCACAGGGTTACTTGTTAGATTAATATCATTGATTTTGGCTGCACAGTTATCATCCAATGTTAAGATATCTCTGCCATGAATTGTCTGCCTTGTTATTTCATTATCACAAATCTCGGAGAGTAGAGTAGACTCCTTGGTGTAGATAACCCATCTGTTAGGTTGTATAAGCTGCCCCCTAACAGCTTCCAAAATGGCTGGAACTTGGATGCATGAGGATATATTTTCAGCATAAGTCATTAGTTCTGTGATGCAATCGTCTTTATTTAGTTGGGATGTGTCATCGCCAGGAGAGAGGTAACTGTATTCATCGGCCTCCTGGCAGGGATGAGTAAGTAGTCTAATCTTCGACCCTTTCACACAATCGTTTAGACTCTATTACAGACTGATGTAAGATTCCTAATCTACTCAAAGCTAAAGTGGTTTCTATCTCGTTCAGTTTTATAAAGATAGCCTGAAAGTTATGAATCAATAGGTTGTATGTACTTATAATCCGTGTCTCAATATGATTAGATTTCTCTTTCGACTATACTGCTTAAGTTATGTGATAATGTTATAATATCTTTATTAATTTTTATTAGATTTTCATTTAATTTTAATGTGAAATTTTTCAGAGATTGTACTCTTTCTGTGATCAACGCCATTCTGTTGTCATTACTATTTTGTTTAACTTTTACTTCTGTAATTAATTTACCGTATCTAACGGCATCATCATTATCGAGATTTCCAGTGACTATCTTAGTTAATAAACCTAGTGGGTTAAGTTACCGCGTCTTGTTCTAAAAGAAGGGGTTATTTGTTCAAGCTTATTAATAGTTAAATTCTTAATATATTCTACTTGTGTATTAACATCTATAAAGTTATATGAAAAATTCTTATTATATTATTAACAATGGAATACAATATTTTATATATTGTATTCCATTGCAGAAATCAAGATATGATTCGCCGTTATTAATTTTTAATGTTTCCAACTCTATTGCGATTCGCGATACACTCTTCAGACCGTGGATCACCGAAATGTTGCTCAAAAGTTAATTTTAATTCTCCCCAGGTTTCAATATCTGGTCTTTCACTAATAAGAGCGGCAGCTCTGCCTACTAACTTTGACGTAATCACTTGAAATATGTATAAATCTTGTTCTGTATTTCCTATTTCTCTACACAACTGTATAATATATTCACATTTATATGAACACATAAGTTAAAGTAAATTTTCATCACCGTCGAATTTTGGAATAATACCAGAAAGTTACTTGGGAATCTGTGTTATTTTAGACATTTTTATTAAAGTATATTTATAATTAGTTTCATTTAATGGTAATATTTAATAAAATTTATAATAAATTTTTAATTTATAAATTTAATTTAATTTACTTATTTCTAAATAAAAGAAATAATAACTCACTTCGAATTTTGAAAATAACACTACCACTTTCTAGACACTTATAATTAAAATGGAATAGGATTGGAAAATGCAAATGGAATAGCGATTGGATCTACTCACATACTGCCCATGTCCCTCCTATGAGTCTTAGTTCTGTAGCGTGACGTCCTCGCCGCTTTTTCTTCTCGACGAATTTATTTGGTTCGTGGATTTTCGTTGAAAACTTTAGAAAACGCTCGTCGTATTTAACTGAATTTAAGTAAAACGCGACACGAAAATTCTACCGGCTGCGCCAGTCAAGTTATGCCATTTCCGTTTGTCCACTCAGCACACGCCTGTGGTCTACAATCAGAATATTCTGCTGATGCGGACATCTTGGTGGGTCTCGCCACCCGTAACAAACTTGCTTAAGACGTTAATGTATACTTAATTATCCCAGTTTTGTTGTATAATGCCTAAATTATATACGGATTTATGTGGATAATGTAATACGACATTATTATAATAATAATAATAATAATAATAATAATCATCTTTATTCAGGCAAATTACACCCATATCCAGTAAAATCAATAAATTTAAAATCAGTCTCCTAAATTTTAGCAATAATTAAATCAATTTCAATACAAAATAACAATTTTAAAATAATAAATCCAGTCAATGTAAATAGGCAGTAATGTCAGTATATAAATAAAATAATGAAATAAAATAACATAAAATTAAAATTAATAAATAAATAACAGAATTACACACATTTATCAGTCTGGAGACGAGATCAATAATTAAAACTTTCTCTGAGGCAACTGTGCTGCAATAAATTAAATTAAAATTAATCTACACAATTATTGCAAAGGGTATACCTGAATTCCCTTGAAAGGAGAACACTGGGTTTTTACATTTAATTTACATCGCTAAATATTTAAATTTAACTAATTCGACAATCAGTGATTCCTGGATCTCGACAACTGCGCCACAAGCCGGGTCTAATTGTTAATCTAATGTAAACCATCACCAATTCGAACTCTTTTAGTAGCCGACGGCGTTAGCGTTGGGTGGTCGGCTACTAAAACAGTATGGGTTCCTCAGCCAAGCAAAGAACAACAATTTGAAAATATAGTTTCTTAAAGAGACAAGTTACGACTTAGCATCATTAGAAAACACAGTTAGAAATAATGAAGGATCACTGAATGACGAACAAAAAGCAGTTTACAATGAAATTAACAAAAATTTAATCAAATGAGGGTGGAATATTCGTTTTAGACGCTCCCGGTGGAACAGGCAAAACATTCCTCATAAATTTGCTATTAGCAAAAGTTAGAAGTACTCGCGGAATCGCTTCGGCTGTGGCTTCTTCTGGGATCGCAGATACACTGCTTGAGGGTGGACGAATTGCTCATGCTACCTTCAAGTTACCACTCAATTTAACAACAGCTGATACTCCCATTTGTAATATATCGAAACAAAGTAATTTTTCTGAAGTATTAAAATATACGAAAATGATAGTGTGGGATGAAATAACCATGGCTCATAAGGGTGGCGTAGAGGAAATAAGAAGTTAATGGGTCGCAGACTCTACCAGTAGTTATTTCACTTCAATACATGTAGTAGTAGTAGTATTTCCGAAGTTAACGACGAAAAGTTTAATCCCTTTTTTGAATTTCAGAGATTACGCGCGCTCACACTATGACGTCACACCCCCGCAGACCGCGACACAAACGCGGTACTCGGTCCGGTGCGGTTTGAACAAATTACGCTGGTCTCGTTTCATTTTCTTTCGATCGTCTTTGTATTCCTATTACTAATAGTGTTTGTGCTGGTATTTCAAAGAAATAATATTATCCTCTAAATACGAATAGACTAAAGTGAAACGTGTAGTGTTAGAATTGAAGAGTGGGTTTGTAAAAGGACAGTCGGCTAATCTGCCAAGAGTGGATAGTTTGATGGTGGCACAATATTTCATGAAGAATCAGGATTTTACGACTGCTGGAATTCGTGGAATAAAGATGAAAAGGTACGTACCTATGTTCTAAATAAGCATTAGGTACCTACTCTCCTCGGTAAGCATTAGGTTTAAGTTTGAACAAATACCTATGTAGGTATTACTATATAACTTAAACCTAACTGAAAGATTGTGTTTCATTTAATACTTACCTAATATGGGTGGCGATAAAAAATACTAGGTACCTACCCGTAATCCACATCTCGAGGCTGTCAGTTTTGCAATTTTAAGTGTTTTTACAACAGAGCGCTCAGGTTTTTCAACTGATTGTTTTTGACAAGCAAACCTATGTGGCACAACCCCTTTCTTGAGTTTAAGTTTGCCTCCGACTAGTTTATACTTAACGTAGTTTTCCATATCATTTTCCACCTAAAACAAAAATATTACATTTCAGCAACAAATTCAAAACCTAAATAAAAGCAGTGTTTAATGTATGTACGTTGCTATCGTTTAAAAAATGCAACGAAAACTAAAGATAAATACGGGCCGCGAGTTTGATACTTCTGACATCGGACCGCGAGTTTGGTTTTGTAGTAGGAAGAAAATATATTATATTTATGTACTACATTTTGCCAAATGTGTATTTTGCGGCCCGCCGATACAGTCTGTTGAGGAGCACTGCACTACGCTGCTACTAGGAGCAAGGTAGTTGGCAACTTTGGCAAGATACCTATCTATCTAAACAATCAAAGTAGAAAAGTAGGTATGTTTAGTAGGGCAAGGATAGGTAGAGAAGAAGGATAAGCTCATTACTTACAAAAATACTTACATCGAAATGGTCTTCACAGCAGTGCGCTTTAGTTTTAGGGCCTATTGAATCGACTCTTTTTACGGCTATCATCCACTTTTTCCTCATTTTTGGGTCCTCAGGCACATAAAAAAAGAGTTTATCAGGGGTTTTAACTGTTGAATTGAAGCACTGAGGCACAACACAGTATTTTCTTTCCATTTTTACAACAGAGAACTTTAAAATTCTAATTTTTACTGCGCAGCGGCGTGCAGTCGAGAGCGCGATTGTTGTATGAGCGGGGGTGTGACGCACAGAACCACAGAATACGTTTAGTCCTAGCGGAGAACAATGTTAACTCCATATAAAATGGATGGGAACAAAATTCAGCGCCATCTATCGTTAGCGCAGATAAAAAAATTTGAGTGGGAAAACGAATCGCATAAATCAAAACTTCTCTCATTGATCTGGTTTTTGCAAGATTTATTGTATTAAAAATATGTTTCTATAATTAAACATTTATTCTATAAATATATCTCTAGAAGTATAATAATTAAATTTAGAAACATATTTCCTAATAGATTAAATCTTGGAGAAACCAGAACCGATCATAATTATGCATTTCTGACGAGGAATACAAGTTATAGTAAAATAAGATTTACGCTTACAAATATTCATTTATTCCTAACAAAACATACAGAAAAAAAAAACAAATATAATTAGCCTATTAAGTTGTTTTAAATTCATTTAAGTAGGTATATTGGAATTACATGTGTAGCATAACTTAATATTTATTAAAACACATTTAAATTATGCAAAATTCTTACAATATTCGCATAGAAAATAACTATAATAATAAGTATTCAATTTAAATATAAAACTAGTCGACAATTTGAGTTTTGTTTTAAAATAAAAATTGGCTTTTATAACTAATATCGTCATTATTTTTAATCCAACTATTCTGGACACTGTAGTGCCTGGGACATGAATCCAAACTAATATCATATAATCACGCCTAAGCCGCTGAATCGATTTTTATGAATTTTGTTATAGAGATAGATGGGAGCGCGGAGCTAGTTAGGCATGTTTAACTATTACCATATTTCTTTCCAAGGAAGCAGCTGAAGCTGATTCTGTAAATTCTCTATTTTTAATTAACAAACATATCGAAGACCTGCACATTGGGAAGTTTGAAATGAGATTATTCAAAACTTTAATATTGATAGGATGCCATAGAGTTCCACCCTTTCTATAATGGGTTAGTTATGGACTATGAATGGTGTAACATTTTTGTGTCCTAATTTAACAAAAAAAAAAAAAACCACGAAAACATTAGTTCTATTTCAACCAGGGCTCTTCAACAAGATTTTTTAAAACTTTATTTTGGGGATAGCTCTTATAGAACAGCCAACTGTGGTTCTAACGCAAACCCAAAAGTGCCATTTTTTCAAAATTAAATAACTCATTGAAGGGAAATTGTAAAGAGTATAAAATTTTAAAAAATTATTAAAGCACCTACAAATATGCACAAGTCGAACTTTGCCTGAAGGCTATGTTAGTGACAATTCTATTATTGATGATTTTATGTCATCAATAACAGAATTATTTGATGAGTGTTGGAGATCCATCTGCAGAAATGCAGACCTGTGCTTGTGTGTGGCTTTATTTTGTGAAAATTGTAAAAAAAAACTTCACAACACAAAATGTTGATAATCTATACTTTAATATAATAAAGCGGAAGAGTTTTTTTGTTTTTTTGTTTGTTTAAACGCGCTAATCTCTGGAACTACCAGTCCGATTTGAAAAATTCTTTTTGTATATTATAACCAGATTCATGTGGAATAGTATAGGCTATATAGCATTAAGCTATATCACTCAGCTAGTCTTAAATATAGATATTTGTTAAGCAAGTCAGAAGAAAAAGCACTCCCGAAATGATTTATCCGCGTACGCTGGTGTTATGATACGTAAATACAATGTTCTAGAAAAATATAGATCTTTACTCCGTCTAAAAAAAAGTCCGCGATACCATATGTCTATTTCTTATACATAAGCCATAATTAGGTATTTTGTGACAAAAAAATATTGAAAATTTAAAAGTGATTTATGAGCGTTATTATTAGGCATGGCCTATTTATCCTTACGAACGAAAGTTACTTCATCATCAAGACAATTTTATGAAGATAAACTTTGTTCGTTATACCATGTTATTTGGACGCATAGTTTAAGAGATAATGTAAAATTAAAATAATTCAATACTTGGCTGGGCGCGCGAACGACACATTAACCCTAACCGCCCGGTGAGAACTGCGAGAACTGCTCAACCGGAAGGGGGAGGGAAAGTGGATAAAACTTAACTTCGCTCTACATCATACATAATATGCCGACAGATAAAAGTACTCCATTAATTATGTCAATTTTTCCATCCATTGCTATCAAATAAAATATTTAATTGCAATTATAAAATGCTTGAACTAGGACATGTCGCGCACCTCCGACACGTGATGACGCGGGTGAAACCGCAGGGCACAGCTAGTAAATTATATTTATTCAGCACTTTGTAATACAATGATTATAAAAGGGCTTTAAAATATGCATCTGAAATCTTAAAAATTGAAAGCTATCTGTGGGACGAATTTCAGCCTGATTCATCCATTGGCTTGAGTTGTGCGTTGATAGCTCAATCAGTCCAGTCAGTCAATAACATTTTCTTTCTAAATATATAATACATATAAATGTAGAAAAGGTAGGTACTTACTTTGTGGTGCTGTGTACAAGAATTTGTAATGTTCTGAAGAACAGTACAAAAGGAGGGACCTGGTTGACACTCCAGATCTTGAGCTGCAGCTTGATCCTGCATAGTAGTAAGTCGTTTATTTTCCAGACTAATGTAGAGACTAAGAGTAGAGCACATGTATAATCTATGTTTGGTGGACTATTACAAGATATTATTATTAGGTATTATTTTTATAATATATTGAGGTCTACATTGAAACGGCTAGTTTATATGAAACATTAAAAAGGATATTAAGTAGTTTTAAAACTATAATGAAAAATATAATAGGATTTAAAACTTTTTTAGCAATTTTATAAGGGTTCTTTTTTTCTGTTCTAGTTGAGGCACAGAACCCTAAAAACGCTAAAAACGGTATTTTTGGCTAGTACCATAAAAGTGCAATAGCTACCTAAAAATTAGGTACATTGCGAGTAATAGAAATCACAACTGTATCACGTCAGTGGAATATTAGCAAAAACTAGACATATTCATAGCCTAGGATCATTATTTAATTTTTTATTGGTAGTAGTATACTTACTTTGTGATCTTGCATTTCAGTAATCGTTACATTCTCAACAAGGGAAGGACCTGGTTGAGACTTGAGATTTAGAGACGAACTTGATCCCTGATATTCTTGCAATGCTAGAGTTTGATGCTGAAAAATAGCATTATCAATTATTTTTCAGATAAAGTTAGGTACAAAAGTAAGAGTGCTACAAAATAACATTTTTTTATTGAATTTGAATTACATAGATAAAAAAGAATTCCCACATTGAAAAATATAAAATATTAGTGATATATTAGCTTCTGAATCTCGACAAAAGCGCCACTTACCGGGTCCAAATGTGAACCTAAACCATCTAGGAACCCATTCAAACACAAAAAAATTCATGAAAATAGGTTGAGACGTTTTTGAGTTTTAGCGACACTAATGGTAATCAATTTTTATATAGGTAAGTATAGAAGATTGGATTTTTCTTGTAAGCATAAAATTTGGATTAAGGCTTGTGATTCTTGGCAACCTTTACATGAAATGTTTTTGTTGGCATCCAAGATTTTTGTTCTTGTTGAAAATGGCCTTGTTAGAAGCAGAAGTGTAACATATTATTATTAGGTGATTTACCTCAATGCAGAGCATCTTATTTTCGGAATATAACATTTCTTGAAATTCCAGAGATGACCAAGGGGAATTGGGGAAGCAATATCTCGCCCATGATTCACAGCTAAAACACAACATAGGTACCTATGTATTAAAATTTGATTGTACTATGCATTCATAGTGTAATGTCTTATGGAATTTTGATATGGGTAAATGCGACTGACATTATAGCCATATTTGTTTTGCAAAAGAGATCCATATTGGCTCTTTATAACTTAAATTGTAAAGAGTCCCTTAGAGAAAATTTTTAATAAATAAACATATTAACATTGGCATCACAATATATTTATGAAAATGTAATGTATATACCTACATAAAAACAAATAGCAGGGTTCTATGTGTAATGTGGGGGCCGCAGTAGTTGTACAACAAAAACACTAGTGATGTAGAAGTTAGAGTAACTTGATTCCTTTTTTTTACATAGGGAAATGCCTACGCATACTCGTCTCGCAGGAGCAAGGACGGGTTATGTCGGATTCGCACCGACTAAAACCCCATGGTGTTCCACCTTTGTCGCATATTGGCAGGGCCATGGGAACGCTTTCGCATACATCCGCGGCCCCACCAGTGCTGGCCACCCCTCCTCAGGAGAGAACTACTCCTCCCTCATCTCCTTCTCAGGTAAGGCACACCAGAACACATAGCACCCCCTCCTCCGCGGCCTCCAACTTCACATGCACAACAGACGCCCCCGTGTCCAATGCGCGAAGGCCATGGGGCCAGGAAATACTAGCACTCAGAAGCACCAGCCTTCCTGATCCCAGCGGTGGATCTGGTCTATGGTTCTGCCGTTGGCCAAGATTCGGCTGCGGAGGGTAGGGACAGAAGCGCCTTGCAATTACCAACACTTCTCTCGCCCCGCAGCACCACCAACACCGCATTAATTAACGGTGCGGCCCCGTCAGAGTCGCGGAGGATAGTGCGAGTGGCGCATCGCCATACCAACACTCCTCTTCCTCCGCGACTCCACCTCGGCTGCAGCAGTAGGGGGAGAGGGCACCCCTCTCGCCGCAGCCCACCGACACACATCCGATTCCGAAGTGGGCTCGCCAAACCCACTCGGAGTGGCCACCTCGGGTCGACCACACCACGGGCCAGCCAAGGGGTTCCTCTTTGTTTGCGGCCAAGCCACGGCTACTAAGCCCCCCGCCACGACAAGGCGGGAAACCGTTCGGGAGGGAGAGTAACTTGATACCTAATATGTATATGGAAATTACAAACAAACTTACCGAATAGCATTTCTAGGCCCAGGTTTAGGAAACCGAGACAGTTTACCTAATGGGCTTAGCTTTCCATTGACGTCAGTGGAGTTTGGTGTTGATACGTATTTTTACAGAAAGATTACACTATTATAAGCACACACACAAAGTCTCAATATACGGAAACGCGTAATTTTTGAGAAAAGAATAATTGAAAATCAATTATTCTTGCAATGTTTATGTCTAATCTGCTAATAAACTGGCGCCATTTTGTAATGTCATTGTCAACGTCAATAGGGATGTCGATTCTTTCCAAAAAAGGTCGATTTTAAAATCGATTCAAATCGTAAGCTGATGTATCGGTTCACAAAAAATCGATTTCTAAAATATCTATATTTTTATAATGTTTCTATTTATAATGTAAATATAAAGCCATTTTATGAAAAACAAGAAAGATACCATGATAAATGATCTCTTATTGAAATTTGTTTTATTTAACAGTACCTATTAGGGCAGATAACAAATAAAATAGGTTAGGTTCAACTTATGTCAAAGAACCGAATTGATTGACCCCGACTCCACCTGGTACGAGTCTGTCCTACCCCTAGAGTGGTTTTATAGAGCCGGAGGCGCGTAGGGGGAGCAGCCTCCGCCTGCTGTAACAAATCGTAGGCATCGGACGAACCGGAGCGGCTGAGGCTGGTCGCCGATGGCGACCAACAAGCCGAAGCTGCGGAGGCGAGGAGGGATGCCTGCGATTTGTTACGCTAAGGCGTAGAGGTTGCTCTTCCCGCAGCGCCGGAGACGTAGCAGTCTCAAAATAGATACAGAAATCCTTATGAATCAGTCCCCTTATTTTTTTATGATGAAGGGGATTTTTTCTCATAAAATGGATTTATATTTACATTATAAATGCAAACATGAAAGAAATATCGATATTTTAGAAATCGATTTTTTGGGAATCGATACATCAGCTTACAATTCGAATCTATTTAAAAATCGATCTTTTTCGGAAAGAATCGACATCCCTATTGACGTCGCCAATGACATTACAAAATGGCGCCAGTTTATTAGCAGATTAGACATAAACATTGCAAGAATAATTGATTTTCAATTATTCTTTTCTCAAAAATTACGCGTTTCCGTATATTGAGACTTTGTGTGTGTGCTTATAATAGTGTAATCTTTCTGTAAAAATACGTATCAACACCAAACTCCACTGACGTCAATGGAAAGTCGTACCGTTTATCAACTTGTCACCAACAACACTGCTCTGGTTCGACCGACACTAATGCGGAGTAGCGAAATTCACTCAACTCAACGCAATAATGGAGAAACAAAAGTGTAATAAAGTAACAAATTAAAACAAAAACAAGAACAACAACAATCAACAATTCTTTGAGAGAATGAAAACATGCGCGCTTGTTTTTTTTTTTTTTTTTGAGTTTATGGCCTGGCATCTAGACCTTTAGGCCAAGTCTTGAGTATTTTCATTCGGTTAATTATAATTTCCCCACTGTATTTTTGATGAATTTATATAGAGGCACGTAATAGGATCTATTTTTTAACATATCACTCAGGCGGCGGGAGGGATCTTGCACTGTCACTTGATTTTGCACTATGTCACTAATTTCACTGACAAGAATCAATCTGTCAAATGAAAAGCACTCACATGTAAATATGAAATGTTCGATATCACCAACAGAATTATTGCAGAAGGTGCAGTAACTGCTCTCCACTATGCCCAATCGAGCCAGGTGGGCCGGGACGGTGGAGTGACCAAAGCGCAGTCTATTTATAGTGGTAACAAAGTCCCGACTGGCCATTTTCAGTTTGTTATACCATGGTGCTACAGGTAGTTTTTCTTGAACAGTTCCATACCATTTACCCTTCTGTTCTTGATCTTGTTTCCAAAATTCGACCCATAAGCTATTGACCTGGTTGTCAATAGATTGATAACAGTCAGTCAAAGGTACTTTTACTATGGAGCTAACATCCAACATGTTGGTTCCATCACGTGCAATTTTATCTACTATCTCATTTCCTGTTATGCCCCTATGTGATGGAATCCACATGAAAGAGACCTGTATACCCTTTTTTGCAGAACTAAATAACAATTTTTTAATATTATACAAAATATAGTTTTTTTTAAAGTCAAATCTGAGATTAGTTAAACTTTGGACCATACTTAAACTGTCTGTTAAAATTAAAAAATTATTAAAACTATTTATATGTGCAATCCTCTTCAGGGCCTCGAGGGCCGCATATACCTCTGCAGTGAAAACACTGCATTTAGGGTCCAGAAGAAAACTTTGACCAAACTTGCATTGTGGATCATAAACGGCACTGCGCACAAAGAGCTCACTTTTGCTACCATCTGTATACAAAGTATAGTAGTTATTGTCGGAAATAAAACTTAATAATTCACAATTATTAAAAAAATTTTTGGTAACAATATTGGTCTCAAATATAATACAGGAATATGGGTATGTGTAGCATGTCCACTTTGATTGTTTAATTACATTTTTAAAATCTTCATTCATTTGCTGTACAATGAGAGGCAAAACTGGAAAATAACCTTGTAAAAGCTCACCTCCCGAAGTCTGCTGGACCGAGCATTGTAAAGGAAAAGGTACTATTTTTTTGAGAACATTATCATTACCAGATACCAGCTTTAGTAAATATCTCTCTATTAGCAGAAGTCTTCTAAGACACAGTGGCATTATTTTGGTTTCAACTTCCATAGCTCGTATGGGAGTTGAACACATAGCCCCAGAAATAATTCGCAGAGCTTTGTTTTGAATTATGTCTAGTTTTTTTACACAACTACTATTTGAGTAGGCTAAACAACTGTAGTCGAAATGGCTTCTGACTATAGATTTATATAGCATACTTAAAACTTTGGGGTCTGCTCACCAAGTCACACCAGCTAAACATCTTATAATATTTAAGCCCTTAAGAGAGTTAGTTATAATGTGATTGATGTGTAAATTAAAACAAAGTTTGTTATCAATGACAACACCCAGGAATTTATGGTTAGATACAACTGAAATTGGATGATTATTGTAGAGTATGCCATTAGAGGGAAAATCTTTACTAAAAATCATGGCCTTGCTTTTGTTAGGGTTAATCTGTAGAGCCAACTTGTCATTATAATATATGTACAATTGCTCTAAAGCATTATTTATACTATTTACAGCTCTATCTACATTATGGTATGTACAATATATTACAAGATCATCCGCAAATTGTAAAATATTTACACCTTCTATATTTACAAAATTAAGAATTTGACTAGAGTATATGTTGTACAACAATGGAGATAATGTAGCCCCCTGCATTGTACCTTTGGTGACCCTTCTGGGACCATGGAGAATATTATTATGCCTAATATACAAAGTTCTATCTATTAAAAAATTAAATAACCAATGGCAAAGTATGCCTGGTATACCAATGTCAGAAAGAACTTGAACCAAAATGACAGGATCTACATTATCAAACGCACCTTCAATATCCAGAAAAACACAAACACTGGACTTATTATTATTATTGGCATATTTCAGATCTGACAAGAGAGAGATGAAGCTGTCAGCACAACTTCTGCCTCTCCGGAAGCCATATTGAACATGTGGAATGATGTTGTTCGCCTCTACATAACACTCAAGACGCATCTTTATCATGTTTTCATTAAGCTTTCCAACACAAGATGACAAAGATATAGGACGATATGAATTAGGATCTTCAGGTGGCTTGTCAAGCTTAAGTAGAGGGATTACACACTGTGTTTTCCAAGATTCAGGAATTTTTTTTAAGTGCCAAAGAGCATTAACATTAGCTAATAGTTTCTTTTGTACGGACTGATTTAGGTTTTTGATCAAAATGTATGGACAATTATCTAAACCAGGGGTTGTGTTTCGTCTGGATTGTAAACTTGTACAAAACTCACTCCAAGTAAAGGGTTCTATGAGGAAACTGGACTTCTGAAGACTATTATTAATTTGAAAATAACTTTCTAGATTATCAATAACCCTACATCCATTTCGAGATAATTTGTCTAAAAGAGGGACTACAAATTCGTCTTTATATGTTCTATTATTGCATTTTATTCGTTTAAATAACTTGATGTATTTCCAAATAATACTAACAGGTGTAGTTCTGTTAAAAGTATTACAGATGTTAGCCCAACCATTGCGTTTATGTTCTGAAATAGTCTTTTTCTTAACAGCATTAAGTCTTTTGTAATTAATGTAATTATCAATGGTTGGATCTCTTCTGTACAGTTTTAAAGCTTCATAAGTTTTAATAACACTCTGTTCACATGTGTCACTCCACCAAGGTGCTGGAGGTTTGCAACGATAGTTGTTTGCTTTGACAAACTTTGGCACAGTATCTCTCCTAAGTGTATCAAGCCTTTCAATAAATTCATCATATGACTGTAATGGATTCTCATTATTAACTTCAAAATTAGAAAAAGCAGTTATAGACAGCTCATTGTATTTTGTCCAGTCTGTCTTGTTGTATAAGAATTTTTCAATGGGAGGATTAATTTGGTATCTATCAACTGACAATAAAACACGAGTAAGCGTAGGAAAATGATAGCTCCCCATACAATCATCATGCACCCACCATTCGCATAGTGGAGTGATTGAAGCACTACAAAAGCTGACATCAATAGCCGATGGATTTCGGTTAGGATAATTAATAGTAGTGAAGCTACCATTGTTGAGGACACATAGATCGAATTCATCAATTAAATCGTATAACTGATGACCCCGACTTTTCGTGGTCATACACCCAAATGCCACATGGTGAGCGTTGAAATCTCCAGCCACATATATTGGCTTAGGCAAATCTCTAATTATATCACGCAGTTTACTTATTCTGAAGTTACCATTCGATGGAGGGCAGTATACACATAAAATCGTTAATTGTTTACCACTTACATATAACAATAATGCCACAGTCTGAATGTCTTGGTAAAATCTGGTTTGAATAATATTATATTTAAAATACGGTTTGATCAAAATTGCTACTCCACCATGCTCATTTTGGGCATTATGATAGTGGAAATTATATCCCGAAATGTTAAAATGCTGAGTATCTTTCAGCCAAGTTTCATTGAGTAGACAGATATCAACATTTTGTTCATCTAAAAATTTAGACAATAAGGATTTTTTTCTATGTATACTTTGAATATTGTACTGAGCTATACATAACTGCTGTATGTTCTGTACTGTACTGTCCATTATTGTGACAGATTTTTTAAAAGTAAGTCTTTAATGAACAGTGTAGTCACAGGTTCATTATCTGTTTTATTACCTAATTCGACTAAAGTTTGGACTTTGGATTCTTATTGTTTGCAATTTGAGCCTTAAGTTGAGTTTGGTTCAAGTTGGGTTCAGGCACTGTTTTATTTACATTATTTACATTTTTATTTAATCTATGTACATTTTGGTTTATTGATGGTAGGGTCTTAACAATGCTGCTCGACTGTGCAGGTAAAGACGGAAAATCAGATGACTTAATTGTATTAGCTACAGAGGCATAAGTAATTTTACCCTTTTTTTCAAGTATTTTTTTCATTTTTATTGGGCAAGATTTGGAAATGGCCAGGTGGGGACCACTGCAATTGACACAACACAGGTTTTCTTTTTTATCACAGTCTCTGAAATTATGTTCCCCAGCACATATCGAGCAACGTTGTTTACCATTACAAATTTTCGCAGGGTGGTTGAACTTGAAGCACCGGAAGCATTGTTGTAATGGTGGGACATATTCAAACACCCTGAACGAAAATAGGTCATATTGGATGTTGTCGGGCAGAACATTTGATAGGAAAGTTATACTGACCGTCTCGAGACCTACAGTACTTTGACCGACTTTTTTCGTGAATCTTCTCACTGAAATAATTTCATAAATCGAAGACAGTTTCGTATATAATTCCTTGTTCGAAATGTTGGTAGGCACATATCGGATGATTCCAGTTTTTTCTATCTGCGCTGCAGGAATATGCGCCTTCAAGTTGTGCTTTGTTAAAAAGTCTGTATTTGTGATGAAATTATTTGCAGTGTTGTATTGTTTAAAAACAACCGCAATTTTGTTGGCATTGACTCTATGTAAAGCTACCACACCTTTCACCTCCGAAGTAAAAATATGATTTAAGTAAACTGGGCTTTTATTTCCAAGTTTAACCTGTTTGTCCTGGCTTTCAACAAAAACTTTGAAGTCCGTATTTGTACAATGTTCAGGATAAAGTCTCAGATAACCTGGCTTAAAAAACGGAATAAAGTCATCCTCACCGCCGCCTACTTCAGGTCCACTTTCCTTCGTACCTCTTTTACGAACAATTTTGGATCGTTTCGGGGTTCCACCTGGATCCTCCGGTTCATTCATTTTAACAATTAACAA